AAGCCACTGAAGCTCCATCTCCTGTCTCTTGGTAGGGACTGCATAAAGGCCCCTTCAAATCTCCTCACTGCAACACACAGCCAAGAGGAAGAAGAGAGGTACCTGCAGTCCCAGAAATGCCATCACAGCAGAGTTTATTGTTCCCAGGATGCCTTCAGGGTCATACGGCATCTTTGTTTGGTAAAGCACCTTAGAGAGAAAACAGTTACTACAGTACCTGCAAGGAAGGCTCCTTTTTCCTCCATCCCCACATGCCCGTCCCTGCTGAGATCCATGTGCAGTGCCAGCCTGCAGCTCCGTACTGCAACCCAAAGGCCACTTACACTTGACGAGGGATGTTGATATATGTGTTTTTCTCCAAGAAGCAACCGGTCGATGTAACCAGCTGCCCCTCCGGTGCAGTTAGGATACTTCCCAAAATCGCCAATGCCCCCAGGACCGAGGTAGCCCCTAGGACATAAACAAATGGGTTATGGTAGTAAACACTGCAGTGCCCCACCTGAAGAGTAGGTGGCCCACTGGCCCGGAGACGCTAGAGGTACGTCCTGGCCTCTGGCCCTACATGACAGCTGGCCAGTGAACTCCCTATTCCAATAATGCTGGATAATGAGGGGACAGGCAACACCAGGAGGGACACTCTGGTCTGGTCCCTGCTCTGAAGGTACTCACCCACATGGGAGCCAAGACAGAAGCTGGTAAGCTGGTATGATATGCAGATAAACACATATTGGAAACACAGAGCTCAGGGAGATTTTTAAACCTCCTCTTAAGCTGTCTAACCCTGGCTATTTCGTAAGGAAAGGGTTTTCCTGTGCTAAATGCTTCCCTCGACCCTGCTGGAGCCCTCCCCTAGCACTAAGAGTTACAGATCCTGAAATGTGTTTTCTGCTCAGTAGGAAAAACAAACTGATGCCCCATAGAAAGCACTGTGAGCACAACGTCTTACCTGGGGCAATCTGGCACGGGTAACAGAAAGGTCAGGCAGAGCCAAATTACTTCCAATGTCAAAATGAAAATCCACTGTGGCCAGTAAGGGAGAACATCCTGCAGCACCGGAGGTGGCATCTCCTGCATGAGGCAGAGGGAGGAGGAA